TCTTAAAAAGATTAAATATCGAAATCATCGGTGCCGAAAAATTAAATGAGACTTCCAACAGGCCGATTTAGGACGTTTAAAATAACAAATATCAGAAAGCAGGCTGAGCGGAACTTAGTTTAGGTTTTATGATCTGTTAAATCTATGCTTGATGAAACCTGGTGCCTTTTTATTATGCCAAAACTTTCATCTATGAATCAATTTTGGATAATATTAGGTTCTCTTTTATTGTATATGAATCTATTGTAAATAATGCGACAGGTGTTAATCAATTCTCAAATCCAAGATCCGCGGTGTCGGCTTTTTCTTTTATTTCCTTCTTTTTCTTCTTATGGGTAATCAGATTACAACTGAACAACTTAAAAATATATTTATAGCTCATGATGATAATGCGCAGACCCGTTTGGTTTCTCTTTGTCCACTTGTACATCAAATTCAATTACTTTCTTCGGAACTAATCACAAACTGGATCATCGACAAAAATCGAAGCGCGACGCAAGTGGACTCACGGAGACCTACAAAGACAGTCAGCTACACGGATCTTAGCAGGTATTCGTGAGTCCTCGCGTCACGCTTCAATTTTGGTCGATGATCCAGTTATTGATTAGTCCTGAAGAAATTAATTGAATTTGATGTACAAGACAGAGCGAATCCAAACGCATGTGCGCATTATCATCAGGAGTCATATGTTTTTTTTATTGTTGTTAAAATACGATTACAGATATGAAGAAAGTGAACTTTAAACGAGTGTTCATGATTGACGAAAGTGTACATACGTAGTTTTGAAGAAAAAAATCCTTAAGCGTTAAAAACTGACTTTTTCGATATCAACACTACAAAAATAGAATGTAACCGTTATTGCAGGGAACAGCTTTGCACTATGTTCTTTCAATTGAACCATGAACATCAAAACACGATCGAAACATCCAAATTTTGGTTTTAAGGTATCAAATTATGGCCTGACGGCGTATGCAGAGAAGATTCCCATCACTTGTTCTTTCGATTGAGGAAAATTTACTCGTAGTTCACAGCCAGGGAACAATTCCAGAACTTGCTCTTTGGATTGAACCAGTAGCCGCTTATGCAGGGGCGTTTTCCATACGTTTTTTTATTGAAAAACTCGTTGTTACACTTTGGTCCAAAATTTCAGATTTGTGAGGGCAGTTTTCGGAAAACGTTTCAAACGGTCAAAAAAAATTAGTGAACCAAAACCTCAGATTTGCAGGGCAGTTCTGACAAAAGGAAAAACCCCAAAAAAAAAATGAGTCAAATATTGTCCCCAAAGACTTTTTTGAAGGCTGTAGAAAGTGAGTGAAGCAAATAGAGACTAGAAGAGTGGGTATGAACACATGGCTGTCCATTGGCACCTCTTTCATGCGCACAGAAGTTCTTGAGAAAACTTAATCCCATACGTTTCATAATACCAGTTATTACGATACGTTTTCTGTTTTCGATTGATTTCACTGACTTGAAATTGCACAAAATTGCATCTAAGCCTTCCTGCGACAAAAACATGACAATAAAAAACTAATTTTTCCAGATTTATAGAAAACTCCTGGGTGCTTAAGAAATTCAACAGAAATTCAAGCGAACCGATCATCAATACCTTGCCAAGAAATATTCCTCGATATCATTTTCAACAAAAGCAATTTTTTCAATTTTTTTTTTTCGATAAACACAAAGAAAAAAAAGTTTTTCCCCCTTTTATTGATAGTTTATTTGTTGTTTATAAACCAAAGATGGGTAGATTCTCATTAGACATGCTTGTCTGTTATCTATCCTCTCCATTTTGATTGATGTTACAAATTGAATTATATTCACAATTATGGAGAAGTAAATTCTTATTTGTCGTTGTGTTTTTATCTAGGCAAAAACATCATGTTAGAGTCTAAAACGGTGTACGAATCCAAGCATGATACAACTTGAATGAGTATAGGATATATTCTTGCATTGGGAAATTAAGTCAAGAAAAATCCTAGCTTAATGGATAATTAAACACCTTGAACCAAATAACTTACTTGATGAGAAACCGTCAGCTTATAAGAAAAAATATTCAACAGGAGAAGCGCTTGATTTATCGGCAGCATTTGATACCCTGAATCAGAAGCACAAAAACTTCTGTTGGTTTCAGAACTTAGGACAGATCTTATGAACTAAGACTCTTACTTATCTCATTAGGACACTAATGAACTTTTGACAAAAGACATTAGTTAGCCAGAATGTTGAAATCACTCATTTAAAGTATTGAAAAAGCATTTATCAGTCTTTACCCAATCATCTAACTCAAAAGCTCCAAGGCGTCCAGAATAGTGCTTGCATCATTACTAGTTATACTAAACGAGCTCTGTTCGTTTAGTTTATAGACTTCCAGACAGTTTCACCGAATTGTTAATAATCCAGACGACATCCCTGTCTATCTCTTAACTAGTTTTAATTTATGCCAAAGAGTTGATGCTTAACATCGTTCTATTCTACTACAAGTAAGAACTAATTGTGGGAAGAGAATGTTTTTAACACAGAGGCGAAGCTGCACTTCGCATGCACAAGCAAAAATATGACTGAAAACGCTACTGGGAAAAACTGAATTAGTAAAACTTTGAGTCTACAAAATTTCTTAAGTGACGCACGCCAATTATGACGCATTAGCAGTACCAGTCAATTTGAAAAAAAATATTACCAACTAAAATGCCTCAATTTATAGAGCAGTAATAACATGAAAAAACTAAATGTAACAAGAATGCTCGTATCAGGGCGAAGCCCTGAAAGTTCAGACTGCCTTTTAAGGTCTATAGAGCAGTAAAAACATGAAAAATTTAAATGTAAAAAAAAATAAAATAAAATAAAAAATTGAATTTTTTTTTTGTAAAAACATCCCCCCACACGCCATATTAAGTACAAAGTGATAGATTTTGCTCTTATTTACAAATCAATTATGGCATATAAGCTTCGTTGAACCAATTTGGAACGATTTCAAAGACGGATTAAATCTCCGCTTACGCGTTAATAGCGCGAAATATATAGCGCGTTATTTGTCTTAAATTGGCCAAAAAGGCAATCTTTTAACCCCCATAAATATACGAAAAATGATCACAGGTGAAATATCTTTTCAAATTTAAGCTCAAGACAACAATAGCTTTCGAATGATATAAATATGGCTAGTTGAAAAAACGAAATTTGTCTGAAGAAAAAAAACCCACCCCGAGCACAAATAGTCCGTTACTTCCGTTACGAGAGCCGGATTTTACAAAAATGTTTTTTTTTTATTTGAGATTTTTTGTGAAAATCATACCCCACAGGCCATAGTAAGTACAAAAAGATAAATTTCGCTCCTAGTAACAAATTAGCTATGGCAAATAAGCTTCCTTCAACCAATTTGGAACGATTTCTATGACGGATCTCCGCTTACGCGTTAGCGCAAAATATATCGCGAGTTAATTGGTTAATTATCCCAAATTAGCCAAAATGGCACTTTTTAAGCGCCCAAGTTTTTACAAAAAATGAAAAATGATCACAGGTGAAATATCTTTCCATATTTAAGCTCAAAACAACCATACTTTTTGACTGATATAAGAAAAACCCCGTCAAAAATGACTAGTTAACAAGTCGAAATTGTCTAAAAAAAAATCACCCCGAGCACAAATATTCCGTCACTTTTGTTACGAAAGTCGGAACACAATAGTCGATGTTACAATCCTTAGCATTGGCTGCACCTAATAGCTGGTTTTTGATCAAAATGAACACTTTCAAAATGAACACATTTTATCGCAAAAATATTTGCGTCGCCACAATATTTGCGATTTAGGTTGGAAAAAAAGATAGTTCATACTATAACACAAGCATTGCTTGTGTAATCAGTGGTGGAAGTCTCCGAAACTAGTTAGTACGATATTTGAAACATATACAATGTAGGCAATCACAAACAAAATAAAAAAAAACTTGTTTTAATAAAAAAAAAGAGTTTTCCTCGATGAGCTGTATAATTTTCAGTCAAAAATGCCTTTGCGAACTGAAAAAACTACATGAATCTCCCACGAAAACGGGTTATAATCAAAAATTGAGAACATAAAATCGAAATGAAAAATCGTGCTGTCCTCGGATCATCTCTTATGAAAGGAGTCTATTTGACTGATTATCTAACGATTTCGTGTCCTGGTGGTACGATTGCCACCATGTGCTGCAGTAACATTTTGGCTTAATTTTCTAGCTTTGTTGCGACAACGATAGCTATAATGGCCGGTGCCACTAATATGTACGATACAAGCAGCAGCCGGCGCAACCGTACAGAAAACGCATTTCTTGTTATGTAAATCTTCCAAGAGCTATGTTTGAATCGAGAACACTATATGGACGATTTCGTGTCCTAGTGGTACGATTGCCATCATGTGCTGCAAAAACATTTTGCTTCAATTTTTTTAGCTATGGTGAGACAATTTTTTAGCTATGGTGAGATAGCTGTAATGGCCGGTACAATTTTTATGTACGATACAAGCAGCAGCCTTACAGAAAATGGATTTATTGTCATGCGAGTATCCCAAGAGCTATGTTTGAATCGAGAACATTATATGGATGAGAGCAAATGGTCACTTTCAGGTTTTTGCAAGAAGATGTGGACATACTACCCTACAATCAAAATTTGACGTTTTGAGATATTCAACAGAAAACAATACAAAAAACAGATGAATCCACCATCGATTTCAAAATGACGGTGTCAAAATATTCGATGATGATGAAGAAGGCACGAAATTCAGAATGCATCTGACGGAATTTTGGAATTGTTGCGCTTTTATTTAAGCCACAATTTCAAAAAGAAGGCTGAGCAAGCAAAATGAAAACTAGCAAAACTAAGGTTTAAGGTAGTTGATTTGAAAAAAATAATAATAACTTGAAAGAGTTGTCAAATTGCAAAATTTGGAGACATTTAACTATGGCAAAGCTAGTCTGCTTTCTGATTATTCAAGCGTTGTATTGACCAGCATTCAGAAGGCTCTGGGCAATAGAAATCCATGGACCAAATTTAAATTCCGTGCTGCTAAATAAAAAGGGCGGATAGATATAATTACCAACACCATTCCAGAATAAATTAACAGTTATGAACTAACTGCTTAAATATTTATAGTTATCTCACTCAGAATCACAACTGGACAATAGAAGCCCCGCTCTGCGGTGTTGCCATATAAAATATGGGTTCAAGGTCATATTTTTCAGAGTACATTTTCTGTAGAGTCTCAAGCAAAGAAGAAATAGACGCTTTTGTTACAAGTACAACGCAGCAACCTCCAAAACCACCGCCAGTAATACGCGCTCCGTACACACCCGCGCAACTTTGCGCCATTTCAACCAAAGAATCGACCTCGTTACAGCTCACTTCGTACAGGTCTCGCAGAGATGCATGTGATTGGTTCATTAATTGACCAATAGAATTTAAAGATTCTTCTGAAGATTCGTTTGCCGATAGGATTTTGACGACTTGAGCCGTTCGGTCTATTTCGTTGACAACATGCAGGGCCTTGTTGAAGTGATCCTGGTCGAACTGCGGTTGGTTCGTTTTCAGAATATCCAAAGAAATCTCACGCAAAGATTCGACACCTGAAATAGAAAAATAGAGTCTAACAACCTCTGATTCAACTTACCAATAACTGACTCAGTTCTACCATTCAATGTTCCTTGAAGCTTATTTTTTTAATTTGTAGCTAATTCAGCGTCTACTGGAAATTTAACGGCTCGTTCTTCTATCGGCGTCATTCAAAAAGCAATCGAAATAGATCAACAATATATTCATGGTTTCACATTTTGAATTTCGCTCTGACAGACAACGCCAAAAACGTTAGTGATAGTGCAATTATAGCTCTTTGAATCTCTAGAACAATTTTAATTGATGCTTTTTTGATAACATGAACCCAACTAGAGAAAACTGGATCAAAATAAAATTTTTATTCCGCTAGAAATCTAAAAACTAAATTCCACTTTCGTATTTGGAGAGAGCTATTTACGTCACTTTCAGCAGATGAATTTTAATTCAACTCAAAAACTGCATATATACCTAAGTGCATTTATAAATGCATCAATATGTATGAATGCATATCTGTAGTAATTAGAGACTTTAAAGATTTTTTTTCTGAAAAGAAAAACCCAATCAATCAGCAAGACCTATAGAGGAGTCTTCACTACGTTCATTACTCTTAAAAAACCTTAAATTTGTAGTTTGTCAATGTTTCGTAAGCCAAAAAGAATTTGAGACCAATTAATGGGCAGTCGGAACATTCAGGGCTTTGCCCTGCTACGAGCAGTCTTGTTCCATATAAAGAAAGAAAGAAAGAATAAATTTCTCCGGCCATACATAAATTTGGCAATTCATCGTTATAAGTAATTATTAAAATGAGACTCGGAGAGGATAGACAACGGGGCCATATGGCCCACAAACGTCTACCCTAGCTATGCATGCTTCTTTCACTATCAGGAAAAGATTTTTTTTTAAATGTTTTTTAGAATTTGTTGAAAATTTGTAATTTCATCCATATCTCCTAAGCTACGAGCATTTGGACGGTCAAGTATTGTCATTTTAATCCGAAGCCTATTTTATAATACCTTCGTTAGCAGGCAACCGCCGGTAAAAAAGAAAAGAAAAACAAATTTAAATTCAGATTTTTTTTTTCAAAATCGTAAAATCGTCTATATCTCCTAAGCTACGAGCATTTGGACGGTCAAGTATTGTCATTCTAATCAGAAGCCTTTATTATACCTACGTAAGCAGGCAACCGCCGGTAAAAAAAAGAAAACAAAAATTTAAAATTAGATTTTTTTTGGAATTTTTTTTAAATCGTAAAATCGTCCATATCTCCTAAGCTAGGAGTTTCTGTAAGGTCAACTTTTAGGGCTAGAATCTCAATCTTAAGATACACAACATTAGCATGCAACTACGGGTTCAACAAATTTTCTACTTAGAAAAAAAATCTAATTCGATTACATTTTCAAATGATAAGTTTTTGAGTATTTTTTTTAAAAATCGTAAAATCGTCCATATCTCCTAAGCTAAGAGTTTCTGGAAGGTCAAATTTTAGCGTTAGAACCTCAACCCTAAAATACACACCCGTCAGCATGTAACCACGGGTTCAATAAATTTTTTCTTTTTTTAATTTGAATATATATAGCACCGACATTCCTGGTACAAGCCCTACGAATAGACCATGGCCGTTTAGTTTAGTCGTTTAGCTTACGCTAAAACGACTATTGGGCTTTTTTTCTTCAAAAAAAGTTAGAAAAGTAGAAATTTCTAATAAAAACCAAAAATCTGTACGAAAGATTTGAATTCGTTCAAAAGTAAATAAAAAGTTTCCTGGAAAGGTTTTGGACAAATTTTTAGTCTTAAAATTTAATTTAAACGCAGAATTTCTGACTACAGTCTGCTTAATCAACCATAAAGTTAAGATTTTTTACTGCCCCAATCCTAATCAATGCAGGATCAACCGTGGTGTAGGTGAATCATCCATTTCGCCCTAGCCAGTCCTACCTTGAGGAAGCGAATGACGCTCGGGCCGCTTCACCCGTGACCGAAGGGGGATTCGAATGCACAACTTTCGAGTTGTGAGACGTTTGCCTTACCCGCTGAGCTCCCAAAAATGGGACAAACTTTCGGTGCCATTTGCGGCGAATTTTGTCGCGCTTTGAGTCTATCGCCTAAAAACGGCACCATTGGGCGGCCTTCCCCACTCGGCGATGGCTGCTCATTAATGTAAGATAACAAAGGGCAGAGAGCGCTCCGACAAGACTGATTTAACAAATAAATTGCGAAAGCAAAGAAAAGATCGAGTTTTTTTTTGTCTAATTGGAAGGTCGACTTAGCATCAGTGTTTGTCGAGTTTGGTCTGAAAACCTATAATATTCGGACAAACTTTTCTCGACCCAGAGAGAACTTTGTTTGATTTTTTATCATCCAAATTGCGACCAATGGGGGTTTCAAAAACATGGCACACGTGGTCCCTTTACGAGTTTTCCTTTGCAATCAAAAGTGGCAGGAAAAACTTAAAGTTTCTTACCACTGTTCGAGAGTAGTCGGACCAACAAGAAAGGCCGTCATTTGTGAAAAGCAGAAGTTCAGTTCTGTTTAAAAGTATTTTTTCAAAACCACTGTGGTCGGAACTTTTGTGTTGCTTGCCCATAGCATCCAGTTTCTCTTATTTCTGTAACCATTTAGTCGAAATCTACGAAAAATTGCACTTATCACAACGTCGCCAACAGACAGTTAGAAAACAAATTCAATGAGCTCAAGACAAAAACACCACTGACTTGTTTTTGAAAACGCTTCAACTTTCGAATTTCAAGATAAAAATATATAAGACCTTAGAGCTCTTTCAATTTCAAAAACAATTTGTGATTGAGACACTTTTTCGATTAAATTAACCCACTGGATCAATAGGTAAATTTTTTACTCCGCGGGAAAATCTGAAAATTAAAGTCCAATTTCGAAACTAGATGTCGATCACAATTTTTGTGATCTTTTCGCCTTTGCTGTTCGATAGTGGAATTTACTTTCTTTTCAGCAAAAGAAACGAAAAAACAAAAGATAAACCGCGAAAAAATAAATACTTTTTCCGTAAAAAAAACCAAGCCCTATAAAGAGTATTACTACGTTCATGACTCTTTATTAAACCAAAGAAAGATGAAATGAGTCGGAGACCCAAATCTAACCTAAGGTGGCGGCCACATGCTCGCACATGGCTCTTCGCTTTCGGTACGCTCCGTCGCCCAACTCGTGCTTCACCCGAGAGTTAATGACAAGGAAGGCGCTTTCGGGAAATGCAAACTGCAAGTGAGTCACCTCTCGGGTTTTGCAGTCCAACATCAAAAGGTGATTTTCCTAAAGACATGCCACTTAAGTCTCAAAAACACCGGTATACGAAAACAGTTAATGATAATCATCTTGCGTACTGTGATTGCATACGTAGAAATTAAAATGGATAACTTCTATTTATCACATGCTTAAAAAAGTTTGAAACAGATAATGCAAGATGAAAAAATGTAATTTTCACACTCATTTCTAAGATGAAAGTTTTAAAAAGTATTATATGAATCCATAATTTATAAAATAAAATTTGAAAAACCTAACTATTAAAACAAACTGATATAATGAATTCGCTGAGAAATAACAACCAAATAATCTTAACATCTTAAATTGACTAAAACGAACTCAAATTCATGAAACCCACATTTAGGACAATAAAAAAGGCCCAAATTAAAGCCGTATCTGCTAACCTGACACAAAATAGATGCAAACTGGTCCATGATGCCACAAGGGACATTTGCGAAGTCGTGTTCTGCTTTCTGACACGCCAGAGCCTTTTCAACTTTATCAACTGTAGTGAGACCAGTCAATGCTTCCAGCAGAGTAAACATGGCCGCCTCAAGACTAGCACTACTAGATAGTCCACCACCTAAAATATTTTATTTCTACTCTCTATCTCTATTGGGAATTATGAAGAGAAATTTTCATACATGATTTTCACCTGACTCAGGTAATACAACAAAACTTGTATAGTTACAGATTTAGTTAAGTGTGGTTGTTTTTAATGAAACTGGCACAAAAAATGGTTTTAAAAAAACTGCCGAACTTAATTCACTTCATGAAAAAAACTGAAGTAAGTCTGGATAAATCGCAGTTTTTGCTTGTCGACCTCTCAAGCAATTTGATACCCATATAACCAAGCTTTCTGTAATGCTGGTGCCATGAAGCAGATTCAGAAAAATAAAATTATAGATCATGCCGAAGCAGCTTTAGATAGGTCCAGTGCGACCAGAACTGTTCTGTTTTGGTGGCATTTGTTGCTTAAATCAGTCACTGAATTAAAAAATTTCGAGTCAAGGATGCACAATATCCATCCACATATTTGTGGACCGATATTCAACGAAAGCAAGAAATTGAAAACATCTGTTATAAATTTCATGGCTAGCGGGCCAATATATTTGAGATGGACGGTGCAGAGGCCAAAGGACGCAATAATTGTGAGCCACTGCTTTCACAACAAAACGCTTCACCGGTTAATACAATTTTCAGCTTCTAGTGGAATGAAACTTAGCGAGTCAACTAGGTTAAACTTGAGAGCTTTCCTAAGTTTTGTTGCTTTTATGAGTTCTCCGATTCGTATATTGAATCTGATAAGCTATTTCAAAGTCTGTCGTCTTAGAAAACCATTTTCATTTAAATAAATTGGGTGGGATCCTGCTACAGACTGTACAGATTAAGTATTGAACCCCTTTTCTGAACTTACTGGACGACACGGGGTGACTGCAAGTCTGGAGAAACTCACGCCAGTTCCTTTTTATTTTTTTCTAGTCATTTTGGTCACAATTTCTTTACACAGAGGCGAAGCAAAGCTTCGCAAAACTTGAGATACAAAAAAAACACTGCATTACAAGAGATTCAAAAAATAAATAATCTGACAAAATCACTTGTTGCTGGTCTCATTCCCTACCTCTACGCTAAAGATCCATGATACCTTGAAGCTAAAGTACTATTTGTAAAATAATAGTCTTTGTTAATATCCTTAGCATTGGCTATACTTTGCTTGCTTGTGTAATTATACTAGAAACCGTTTGCATCAAACAATTGAAAAAAAACCAGCTTGACAAAGAACCGTTTGAAAAGCTACCAGATAGAAACAAATTGCACTTTAAAAAACGGAAACACAGCCGATAGAAATTAAGACGAAAACTACAAATCCGAAACAATCAAAATTTTTAAATAATTATATTTGAAAAAACTTCTACCCCAAATGAACTAAAAAGTAGCTTTTCTTGAATTTTTGAGAAATTGAGCATGTCGGCAGAATTTGTAATAAAGTTTGTTTAAAGGAAAAAATTCAAGTTCCCGATTACAAGTCACTTGCTCTCGAAAGCGAAATTAAAATAGGGTCAAACGGATTTGTAAGTCTAATTTTATTCCCCTTTTTGTGCAAGTTTCTTTATTTCGTCAATTAATGCAGTTAAAAAAACAAGGTCGGTCGGTACGAATGCTGTGACTTGCTGTAGCGAGAATAGTGTGGGAAACGTTCGTTCGGCAGCGTCAAGCTGCATCAAATTTTTTGCAAGAGCATCTTGAATTTCATTTAACACAATTTGCCAGTCCGCTTTCTTAAATTATTTATCTCATCGAGAAATTTATTTCCTTACAAACCTTAGTTTTTTAATCAAAGAAGACTATGGTTCAACAATTCTGCGCTACTAGCGTTTAAGTCAGCAATATCTTACACTTACTAGAGTTTTCAATTTTCTGGGATACAGGAAGTAAACATTTCACATCTAATAATTTCACTCAAGATATCGTATATCATTCTGATAGAAAGAGTTTTATGAGGAGAATAAGAATCTTACAGTACAGATTGTTTAAAAACTTTACCTGCAGGAACAGAAGACACCACACAGCAGTCGAATCCACTTTGCAGACTGTGCACTTTGACGAATTCGTTCACGGTACCCAATATGTAGTTGGCCCACTTGGTAGATTTCTCCTCGGTTGGATGAATATTCACACTAGATCCGGACTCGACGGTTGGGACTTCGAACTCATACGATTTGCATTGAGCCGAGGCAAGATCTGTTCGAACTCTAAAAAGAAACAAGAAGGAACTAAAAAGGAAAATCTCTCTGCAAAAAACAAATGAACAAAAAACTACTTCGATTTCTGTTTTTTGGATTTTGCTTACATTTTTTCGAGGTGGCGTGGATTGTAGGTGTACCCAACAAAATTTAATTACCAAAAACAAAAATATTAGATAAAATAAGCACGCAGCATATCTTGGTAACATTACTAACGAAAAGTAAATTGTGGCTCTTCGTTAGCTTCGTTTTTCAGACTCAAAAAAATATCAAACGGTTCAATTTTTTTTACAAATCGGAGAAACCAAAGGTCACCTTGAGAGTTAGAGAATTTTAGTCATGTGATCGACCAGGGGCGGATCTAGGATTGTCTCGAGGGGAGATGGCGGATTTTCAAAAAAAAATTCCGAAAATTTTGTCGACTTTTTTTGATCAAAAATTTTGATTTTCCGAGCGGTCTCAGAAGTCTATTCAGACGCTTTTTTGACAAAAAGTTGCACCGTATATACCGTGCATATACGTTTTTGGGCAATTTTTGGCGAAAAATTGCGATTTTTCGGCGCGCGCTCCCCTTCAACATTAGTATATAGTGGCGCCAAAGGCTCCTTAGAAAAATTTAAGGGTTGGTCAGGATGTCATAAAATATACCAAAGGAGGAACCTTTGGTTAACGAGGGGGTCGAAAAAAGATTCTGAAGGGAACGTTTTTTTTAAACTTTTGATATGATTTAGAGTCATGTTTCAGGGTACATACGCAGATTTTCTTTTTCTGTCTAGCTCTGATTGTTCAACTAACCAAAGGCGGACTATAAATTCAAACGAAACCACCCACCGTCTAAACTTCAGATATTAGATTTATGATTTCAGTGGTCAGCCTTATTACGCATTCTTCGTTGTCGTGATTTCATCAAAGCTCCTAGTTTACTTTTTCGGAGTACCCAATTTCTTTTCAAAAAGTCTATTATAGTTACCTGTCTCGCGATTACTTTCGACCTAAAAATTTCAAATGCATGTCTCCGAGTTGGGAATTTGGCGAAAAGTCTTTAAAGGACTGTGGTAAAATATCAAATTTAACAATCCTTATATATCAATTGGGGAGAAAAAACCTTTTTCATGTTCAATCAAAAATTATTGCAAAAGTATGAGCTAAAAAGATATTTGACTTTTTATATTCAAAAGCGTAATTACGCAATAACCATTAACATAATTAATCGTATGACAGCTTCGAGAAAGACGACAACGATGATTTGAAGACAACACGATACGGTTGACAACTCCTATCGACGAGAACAACAAAAAAAACAGTCAGCTTTATCAATTATTAAAGCAGTTTCAACTGTTGTTATAGTTTTACCTCATTTATTCCCAGCTCTTTTCACAATTATTTTATAATGGAGTTTATTATCAGCGAATCAATTTTATTGGCCTGTTGGTCCAAATACATAGTGCAACAACATCTCAAAAGTGGAAAATTGAAGACGAGACATGTAAATCAACTTCATATAAAACTAGTTATCGTTTATTCTGCCCCAGACTGTTGAGATAAATTTACTTTCAAAGTTACTTTGTTACCTCAAGAGTTGTGACGAACAATTCTAACTTTAACCAACCTTCCCCTTATATTACCTTTCGTCCTCTCAATATTACCAGAAAATTCAGCGCGGAACTACCTTAAGCGTGGAATATTTGGCTTAAGTTGCCAGAAGTAAGATTTTGCGTCTTATTGCCAGGCTTTTACTGAGGACACTCTGGCTTTTCACAATTGCACAGATGCAGGAGAGGGGTCGAAAATAATTGCTAACCTGCACTTGTTACTTTTAGTCTGACTGTATGACCCCACAATGACGGTCCATAGTGGCATGGCCATAGGTAACACATAGCCATTGTTATAGTCCACATGTTCCCCAATTATGTTCACGCGTCCAGGGGCGCACGAGGCCACCGAGGGCGCATGGCCAAAGTGAGAAGTAAACAAATTCTTACCAGATTCAACTAGCTCCTCTAACGACGGGACAACTTCCATTACCATTAATTCTAGAAAATTCATTCTAAAATTTACTATCAATTCGAAATGCAACGTAAACATTAAGGCCTAGAATAAGTTTTGAGGCCTTGATTGAAAAAATGATAATTTAAACAAAGCAAACAGGCGGTTGGAAAAGAGCTAATGAACGCAAGTAAACCGAAAAAAATACTGACTTGATTTTTGACAAATTCTCAACTATCGAATTTCGAAGAAAAAAGAAATATGGCCTTCAGTATCGACCGCCCTCCATCATTTCTGATTGTCAAAACTATCCAAAAGGTCATCCATTTTTGGCTGGCCAACCTCAAATATTTGATGATTTTTTTTAACAGTACTCCAACACGTCATTTTAGCCTGTTTTTTTCTCAAATATTTGCCTGCGGCGAAAAAACTTTCCGAAAAATTCGGTCCTCCTAGCATTTTCGGAGAGCTCGGAAAATCAAATTGGTCGAAATCTGATAAAATTCCATTTTCGAATTTAGAAGTTGATCACGTTTTTCGGGACCTTAACACTTTCGCTTTTCAATAGAGGGGTTTGTTTTCCTTTTAACAAATGAAATAAATTGAACTACGAAAGAAATCAAAAATCAAACGGCGAAACAGTACATTTGAGCCTGAACAAATTTTAAGATTTCCTGAAAAAAAACGAAAAAAGCATTTGAAATTCATCGTCATCACAAACATCGACATCACGAAAAAGTTATCCAAAAGTTTTTGGCACTTGAAACCTCTCTTTTCGCTCTTTCTAAAAAATAGCAGGAAATTTAGACAAAAAAATGAAAAATTACATTTCTTTTTTTTTAAGAGTGGTCTCGTGCCTTTTTTTCATTCGGGTTTTCATTGTTTAGCTTTGTGGAGTTTTTTGCGACCTAAATTTAGCGTACACAAGCTTTTAAAATCAGCCGAACACAATCATTTATGCAGAGCAGTTCAATGGTTGCATGGCGTAAATTATTACGCTGCCCTTATCCAAAAAAAAATCAAATCTAAAAAGTCAAATAGACATCATTAATTTTTGCAGATCCAAAAAGTTAAAGAGACGTCGTTAATTTTTGAGCATACCTATAATAATAAAGAGAGATTACAAGCAAAACAACATGTCAAGAAACTCTTTCTATAACCAAAAACCAGAGGAAGTTAACTTCCAACCGATTGAAACCTGGTTAGGAATAATCTATCGGTAAATAATCTATCGGTAAAAGTAAAGCAAAAAACAAAACAAATTGAAAACGACTCTTAGCTACAAGTATAACCAACCAGTCACAGTAAAAGTACTATTTGCTACGTTTTTGTCGCATATTGTTGTTACTATTTGCGCGAGGACAGGCCTACGATCATGCGTGCCGCGTAGCATGAATCGATTAGCGCTAAAGAATTGAGTTTGCTTTGTCACTTGTGCCGCATCAAATAGAGTAACTATTTTAACTGCGCATGCTAAGCGGCACGCAAGCAAAGTCGCTACACCCCCTTTTAGCCTTTTGTTCTAAAAATGCAAACAGCAACAACAATCTGGGACAGAAATTGAACAAATAAAAAGCTACTGTGAAAATATTATCATGTTCAACTTAATTTTTGTGTATAATTTTTTTTTTACAGAAAGCACTGCTTTTATCGCGTTTCTTTCAAACCTTGCAGAAAAATTTGAATAAATTAGAAATTTGAAATATATCTTGGTTACTTAATTTTTGGTTTCTTCCACTGAATTATTTGTTTACTTCATTTAAATTGGCAATTAAGAAAAGGAAAAAGAAATCAACATCATTTTTAACAGAAATAGCGAGGAATCGAGCGGGATCAATTGAGGTACGGAAAATAAGTCCGGACAACAAAATTATTCAATTTAACCAAAAACTAATTTAAATTTAAGTTTCCAAAAATTTTCTTAACTATCACGTGTTAAATTGGGCGGATTTTTTTTCCAGCTCAGCTGTTTTCTGGCGCTGCAATACCTTTCAAAAATAGTTCGTTGATTATTATCAAATAAAGTGATAAATAGGACGCTAAGCGATTAGCACGGAATGCTCCGACCACAGTTTTAAATCCAGAAAATAGACAAAAGAATCATATTTTTCCAAGTGGATAAACCTGCAGACGATGAACTCACTATAGACTACAATAGCCTTGTATATCACAGTTAAACAGGCTCTAATCAGTGATATCCGTTTAAAAAACAAGAAAAAAAAATAAATTATAATAATTCAAAAATAAAACTTTTGGCACCAATTTAAATTTTTCTACCGCAAATATTCAAATTTCTCGTCAGTAATTCAAATTTTTGAATAGTCTGTTTATTAGCAATTTTGAGTGCCGATTTTGGGCTCTGTTTGCAATTTTGGATTCAATTTTGTCGTGAAAACTAAGATTGTTTGCATTTTCCACGAAAATAATTGACATAAATAAAACTTTTTCAAAGAACCTCTAATGAGCCTTTTGTATAATAACACACTAAACCCCCTCTAAGTTTGTTTGAGGTGCATAAGATCGGTAGGAAAACTCAACCTTCTCCATGTTTACTTCCCACACTTCTCCCAACAATAACGTCAATTGATACTTTGCGCCTTTCACTTATTAGACCATCAATTTCGCCGCGCGATGATTCATGTAGAGTTTCGCTACATGTGCCAAGGTATTGTTACTATCGAAGAGAAAAAAATGCTATTTGTTAGTCTTATTGGCCTTATCAGACAAATCTAAGACGAGAAATCTTCTTAATTTTGGTCTTAAATCGGTCAGAAAAGTTAGCCCTCGAGTAAGAATTGCACTTACTTCTGCATATAGTGTCAGATAACAAATAGAATATGTCTCTTTTATCAATCTGGGTAAGAATCATGAGTGAATTTAGTAAACAACTACAAATGCACAGTTTTTGAGTAATCACACGTACCCCGCAGTAGTTATTGGTTTTCGCGGAATAAGCGTACCATCTATTTTCATCAGCTTCGAAAAATCATTTCGTTACCATCAGTATCTCGAAAAAGTATGTTGCGTTACCAATCTCTGTCTTTCAAGAGCATAATAACAAACTTTTCCATTATAACAGCACAGCTTTACATTCCAAGATATAGCTTGACTAAATCTGTGGACTTCGATTTCTGAGTTTTGAAAACATACTAGTAGAAGTGCTCTAGGAAAATTTATTTGATGGTGATTTTCTAATCTCTGGACTTTGTTTGAAATTAAAATATGATTTTCAGATTTTTGCTGAAATAAGAAACGCAAATACTCAATGTGCTACACCAGTTTGCCTACAATGAGTTTGTTTTCGAACGGAAAAGCGGTGCTCAGAAAAATCATAATTTCGAACGAAATCCAAGGTAAAATGCCGCATCAGACTTTCAAATATATTCATCTAGAACTTGACTCTATTGACCGCTTGGTTTGACTTCAAAACTTGATAGAAACATTGTCAAGAACTCTTTGATGATACATCACTTGTTTGAATTCCTGCTATTCTTTTCTTTTTTCACCGCAGCTTTTAAGTTTTCATCCAATTCAAAGATTTTTGCATAGAACAGTTATCAACGACAAGTTACTCGCTAATTCACCTTGCGCAATTGTTTATGTTCAACTGACGTCAGTAGTCTGGTATGTTTTAAAGTCAATCAGAGAATAGAAAAAAGCTGTAATCAATCAGCCCTATCTATTTTTCATTCGCTTTCTGCTTACTAAAGACCAAACCCAATTTAGAAGTTTATGATTTGGGCTCAATAAAGCAGAGCTTACATCTCATTTTCTTCACGTTGAAGAAGCTGCTATCTAATACACCAAACACTGAACAATACTTTAAAAATATTACTATCATTGTTATTTTTTATAGCCGGATTCAGCTAACTTTTGATTTAGAAACTCAGTAGTGATGCAAAACTCGGTAGTGAAAAAAAACAGTAATTTTAACAAAGGTGAGGCGGAGTTAAGCAGCACAAGAGATACATAAAAACAACCACACAGAGGCGAAGCACAGCATCGCACCTTTTGAGATACAACACAAATAGGAGGCACACGACAGAAAAAGAGACAAAGCCGCTAAGTCAAAAAACGTATGAAATGAATGCCAAAGAGATTACTACAATTTTCAAACGTTTGTTTTATATGATATTGTCAGTCTAACTCGAAATCAAAAATTCGTCAACATTAAAACTCAAAAGAAGGAAAACGAAAGATGGTTATTGTAATTAATGACTCAAAACTTCAACAAGCATTAATGGCATAAAGCCTTTAAAATGATTGAAAGGCTAGCAAATTGTCATAAGTATTCAAGTACATTGTAATAAGCATTTTGAAAAACTTACCCCGCGCCATTTAAGCCGACAATACTCGGGTCTATTGAGCCGGAAAAAAATTTGTCCTAAAAATTGAGCTCACGAAGTTCCGCAACTTACGCTTTTTTTCATCCTGGTTCAAGTTTGATGTTCCACGAAGTTTGATGGTTCAAGTTTGATGTTTCGCGAAATTGAGCATGGCCCAACGGATTAAAATTCTTACGAGCTGAAATCAGTGGGCAAAGTTTCTAATGAGAAAAAAAATCAATGCAAAAATTGAAAAAAAAAAGTTTTCAATGTCTTATAAATTGTTGATTTGCAAAAAACTCTGGTAGGAGTAGCGAGAGAGAACTGAAATACAGATCCAAATTTATCCATAATTGGACGAGATTAGATTAAAATAATCACAGAGCCAAAAGCTGGCTCTTCTTCCCGTAGTTTCGTCAATATATCAAAAATATTCAAATCAGCATTTCTCGACAAAAAGTTTTAGGAGAGCAAAAAAATCTCCAAATAGGGAATCCAGAAAAAATGCCAGAGTCAATCATTAATCAGCTTGCTTTGGGTACCTCGGATCGACAAAAAAAAACAACTTTTGCATGTCTCAAGTAACATGCAGCAACTGACCCAATTACATAGATAAAATAATCAACGCTGAAATTCAACCATGGCCTAAAAAGTAATCACTTTAATTCCCAACCGGGAACCTTGGGAGGCGATCAGTGTTTAATTCTGCGATCTGGAAGACAGTAGAAGTAGATACTCGGAGCACAAACAAACGCTCTAGTGTTATATTTGAATTATGGCAGCCAGACTTAATTAAGTTAAAAGCTCTCCCTTCGCTGTCTTACCACAGCCTTCACTGTTATGTTGTTTACCAGTGGTAGTGACAACAGGCATCGAGTGAAGTGTTTGCTGTCAAACAAACAAACAAAGAGACAAATAAACAAACATCTTCGCAAAAGTGCCTGTGTTTCGAGAGACACTTTTAGCCGGAAGGAAATCCGGTTCAAAGAAGTCTAGTAAAAGCAGACTGATGAAATCACTCTTTCTAATAGAGCTAGAGAGAGAGAGAGAGAGCTCCCCCTTTTTAGTAATTTCTCAAAGCAAAATATTGATTTGTATTTTCTTATTTCACATTGACAATCAGATTTCCTGTTTTTCACAAAAAAAACCTAAAAATAGGAAGCATTGCATCGCTTCGTTGGGATAGCACGATTGGGTCTCCGTTTTCAGATGTCTCTTCTACGCATCAAAACTCGTTCTATATAATCAGAAAAGTATTATTTAAGCAACTGGTGCTATCAGCCAGCTAAGTCCACAGAATTTGCGTAATTTCCAGCAAATAGGAAGATTCCTTTATTCTAAACCGAGAATACAATACTTATCTTCAATCTCTCTTCTGGTTCAAATTCTAGCATTTCAAAGATTCGCACGAGCTGTCAGTTTTCTCCTTGAAATATTTTTAAAGTCTCCAGTTGAAAATACAAAAAAATTGCTTTAAACTTATTTAGTTACGAGAAAATTTAGATAGTTACAAGAATCTGCCTAAAAATTCTTCCAAACAAATCATCGAGTTGCTTCCAGCTGCTTCTTCAAATCACGTTTTGTCATCATTAGAAGAGATAATCCCAGCTCATACCTTCCCTTTACAATTGTTTCTGCATCTGTCTTTTAATTAATTTAGGTGACGTCAGCTACCATAACACCAGAAGATATCAGCCAGTATACGGGGGTTAAAATCATTACTGATATACTCAATGGCAGCCAAGGCTTTTAACTTTTCAAAAATCGCACTGAATTGTCACGCTTTCAATCAGAATTTTAAATCATAATCTCTGATTGTCTAAACCAATTTTCGGATATGTAGTCCTTCGAACAGGTGACATTTCCTCTTTTAATAGTACCTATTGGATACATTCCGCTAATCTCCAATGGATCTTTTACTCCTGTTTACTTCCAAGTATGTTTGCCTTAAAGCCATTCATTTAACTCCAGATGTTTCTGCCTTCCAAAGTTTTCGTGTGATTTATTGTCAGCTGTCTCAGCGGCTACGATCAAAATAGTAATTCAGAGCATACAGAATGACAATTTTTGGTTATTTACTCCTCAAGTTTTTGATTGAAAACACTTAATTGTATAAATTTGAGCTCTACTAGAAAAACGGTGTTAAATTACTTTTATTAACAAGTTATCAAACCTTATTCAGAAACAAAGTGAACACGATCTCGAAATTCTTCCTATTAGAGAACCGCATAACTAAACCGCCTTACTCAGAATATCTTTTCACGTCAACCACGACCAGCCCACATGTGAAAAACTGAAGAGTTATTGACTGAAAATTGATTACATTGGTAATCTTCTTTGATCTCTAACTTTCACATTTAGTGTCTATATTGTGTCCTAGATTTCTCTGGACCAATTCAAATTATAACGTCCAGTTTATCCTCGAACAGAATACAATTAAATCAAAAAATATACTAGATTTTTGTTCATTTGAAGCGGCACTTTATGAAACAGCTGTACTCATTACTCTATCTATTTCGAAAAAAGTCACAAGTATGGTTATGGCTGCACCACAGAAAAATTATCTACACATGCTGTTTGTCTTCATGATACTCGTTCAGCTGAAACACAGGTAAAATCAAAGTTAGCGCATTTGAAAAACAGGATTAAGTTAACTCAAGCCTTAGCTCCGGCAGAACAAAAGAGAAGAACAAAAAAAACATCAATGAATTTTTTTGAGACTTGAGAAAACCAAAACACATTATGACTCTGAGCTTCAGGGCAATGACTGATCAGGCAAATTTTATAGACCAATTAGAAGAATTAGTCTGAAATTGTTGTTTTTTATTCATTTCTGATTTCTTATACACAATGAATAATTTTAACGAGATTCAAAAATTATATACCACAAAAAATTCATGCAAAAAACATCTTCTAGTCAATAATTAGTCATTTCTCAATAATTCGTGAGACGCGAAGAGGAGCTTTGCATCACTTGCGATACCAAAATTGCACGGTTCAGGTGTAAAAAAATCGATGTCATAATTTCATATTTTTCGACACAGAGGCAACAAATATAAAAAACGAGTGGAAAAAACTAGGTGAACCAAAAATTTATTTTCGTATGTCTGGATTAAAAACAACTAGGGGCACAGCTAAAGCTGGAGGTATGTGTTTAATATTGAATGAATTTGCTTGACTGATGTGACAAGAAAAATGTGATTTCAAAAATTGAATTTTGCCCAGAACCGTAGTTGTTGTTTCTCTACTAAAATAAGTGAGAGTCAAAATCTAAAATGGTCAATTTTTCCAACATTTCTCTTCCAAAAAAATAAGAAGCCACCGCTTCTGCAGGAACCATTATCGCAACGGGTTATTTCAGTTGAGCTTTTCATCTCAGATTTGATTGTGTAAATTTTAAGAAAACTCAAAAAAGTTCTCTAAAACGGTCAAAAGGATTTCCAAAATTCATGATACTTTCCTGTAAAGAGCAGTTTGGGGCCGATTAAGCAGAGAAGATTCCTTAAAGTTGGTTTATCGATTAACACTACCTGAGAACTGGCACGGTAGTTTTCGCGTTAAGTCAAAATCTGCAAAAAAAAACTGTCAAAGTTTCAAAACTTCGACTTGTGTTTGAAGGCTATAACTTTTTTTCTTAAACAATCTGGCCATAGCCAATGATAAAGGTTGGCTTTCAAAAAACTGCGGTTTCGATTAAGCCTATAACATCAGATTTGGCAGGATAGTTAGCGGGAAAAGTCCAAACAATGGTCAACAAATCAAAAAATTTACATTTCCGAATCATAGCTTTTTGTGTGGAAAAATAGGGCGTAGCCGCTTATGCAAATGGGATTAACTCAGACAGAAATTACGATTGCAATCAAAATCTCAGATTTGGGAGGGTCGTTCACGACAAACGTTAAAAAAAATATTTAAAAAAACGGTCAAAATCAAAATTTTGACTTTTTTGAGAGCCTGAATTTTTGGTGTAAGAAAAAATTGGGAATGCTCGCATAAACAAATGAGCTTCCTAAAACCCACTCATTGAATTAAACCTACAATCTCAAATATGGCAGGGTAAAAGTCAACACAGAGGCGAAGTTGCATTCCGCATACACAAGCAAAAATATGACCGATAACTCTTCTGAGAAAAACTGATTGAGTAAAATTTAGAGGCTACAAAATTTCTTAAGTGACGCACGCCAATTATGAGTCTACATAATTGCTAAGGGACGCAACCCAATTATGACGCATTAGCAGTCAAATTGGAAAAAAAAAAAGAAATTTACCAACTAACATGCCTCAATTAATAGAGCGGACACATTTCAACTAGTATACGAATAAGTTCATTAAAAACTCTTATTTTGTTGCGGGCCTCTTTCCCTACATCTACGCCGCAGATCCATGATAACTTGAAGCTAAAGTGCTATTTGTAATATAATAGTCTGAGTTGATATCCTTAGCATTGGCTGTATTTTATAGCTGGTTATTGATCAAAATGAACTCTTTCAAAATGAACACATTTGTCGCAAAAATGTTTGCGTCGCAAACAATATTTGCGGCATCGGTTGGATAAAATAGAGTTCATACTATAACAAAAGCTTTGCTTGTGTAAAAATATGGGTCAAAATATTCCCCACAGACTTTTCCGAAGGCTGTAGACAGAGGGGTCAAGTCAAAAGATAAACAACGGGAGTATACAGGCACGCAGGCACCGATTTTTAAACATACAGCCAATTTGAAAAGTGCGGGGGGGGGGGAGTATTGAAATTGTGTTTCTCTTGAAACAACTCAAAGATAGATTAATAAGCCGATAAAAAGTAGGCCTAAATAATTTAGGGCGAAGAAATTTCTAAGCAAAGCCAAAATAAAAAGAAAGAAATACGAAAGCAAGGTAAGTAAAAATACAAAATGTTGGAGTGAGTCAAACACTAAAAGCAACATTGAAGAAAAATGCGCACAGCTAAAAAAACGATTTCAAGATGTGACAACTAAGCCGACAACAGATAAACAGACAAATAATTGACCGACAATTTCATTTAAGACAGATTATTTCCCGGTTAAAAAAAGCAAAAAACAGGTCCTGGTCTTATTCTAACCCAAGACCTTTGCCGTCGCTGGCATAATCGTTACCTCCAGGCTAAGTTGGTCGGGAAAGCATAGAAATTTGAATTTATTATGAACCAAGATACAAGTGATTCTGTTGAACAATATGTTAACCCAAAAAAAAGTCTATATTCCACTTTGATAACGTTTGCTTATCGCAAGCGTAAAAGGTACTAATTCAGTAAAACGCACATCTAGGAGTAATGATTCCTAAAAACTCATTTGACAAATTGAAATCAGAAAGAATCATTTGTGAAACATTGGAGTGATTTTTTCACATTTCTGTAATCAGATGAAATCATAACTTCGAACGATTTGGGTATTAAGCCATTTAAATGCAAGTATATCAGACAGACAGTAAAAAAATAGCTTTGTAACCAATCAAGTGATTTATATCCGCCTTCGTATCGAATTTGAAAAACAAAACGGACAAGATTGAACGAATTCTTAAAGTTAACAATTCATTTCATCTATGAAACTGTTTAACTAATCACAAATTTAACAAGGATAGCCTTTTACTGTGCAAGTAGCACATAATGTTACGACCAGTCATTAGAAAACTACGGTTCACAACTTTTTTTTATTATTAGTGTAGTTTTTTCTGCTTGATGTGATAAAAAGATCTGACGTATTAAAAGCATTTAGGCATATTAGACAGTCATAGTAATAAAGGCAACTTAGACAAAAAAATGTTGTAGAAAAAAAAGAGTAGAAAAACTGTAGAAAAATTTAAAAATTGCAAAAAAAAATCCCAAGATGAAACTAAAAAACTCTAAAAACTAATTTTACCTGCTTAAATATAAATTTTAAGGTCTTAAATTTGGCATAATTCAGCTTGTAAGCCTGCTCACTTGCTTTATTCGCTCGAATTAGGACAGAAAATCAAAAATATCATTCAGGTTTTTTGTGGACACTGGGAAAACTTTTTGGAAAACTTGAAAAGTGGTTCAAATTACGACTGAAAGGGCTTTAATGTGATATATCACTCAACCCAGTCCGACGATTATTTGTGGTACCTGTTTTTGCGTGGAAAACAAAAAAAAACTCATCCGAACACAAAGTTCCTCCCAATTTCTCAAATGGTCGGAACAACGAAGATAGACGGTTACTGTGTAAACTGCACAGAATGTTCCGACCGCTGTCTTCAAAAATACAAAAAAAAGTTTTTACAAATTATAGTTTTTTTTTCTGCATGTGTGAAAAAATCTGAACGAAAAAAAAAGAAATCAAGCAAATGCGACAGTCATATTCAAATAGTCCAATTGGAAAAATAGTTTTTGTAGAAAAACGAAAAAAAAGTTAACATTTATGTAGAAAAACGAAAAAAAAAGGTTTGAAAAATTTCATAAGTTCTTTTGCAGAATTTTTGAAGTTTTTGATTCTCAAAATGGCGCTAAAAAATTCTAATAACAACTTTACCTCAGTAAATCCAAATACTCACGGTTTAACTCAAGCTTAAATAAGCCAATGTAAGCCTGCACGCTCACTTTATTAGCTCGAAATTAGACCAAAAATCTAAAATTTCAAGCCGGTTTTTCTCGATCCTGAGAAAAATTTTCAAAAATTTAAAAGGTTGTTCAAATCACGACTCAAAGGGCTTTAATTTGGTATATCACTCGATGAAAATTAATTAAGGTACCTGGTTTTGCGTAGAAAACAAAAAGAAAAAATAGTACACAACAAGGATAGCCGATAGCTGTGCAAGTATACAAAAATCATAACTCGATCGCTTTAATCGCTCGAAAACAGACGGAAAACCAAAAAATTCAAACCGGTTTTTCTGGACACTAGAAAATAATTTTGGGAATTTTAAAAAATGGTTCGATCACGGTTGCTGTGCAAGTAGCACAGAATGGTCCAAATAAAATAAATTCCGAAATAAATTCACAAATATTGTTTTTCTAAAATCAAAAACAAATTAAAACGAAACGTAGTTATTTCTAAAACAACATAAGAAAGTAAATTACACCTTTATCGGGCGTCAACAAATTATATGTCAACAAGTTACTCATGAAATCGAAAAAGCCCTGACCAATTTTTCTCAACAGAATCAATTTGTTTTTTGATTATTTTTTGGAAACCGAATCTTGACCAACATCACTTTAATATGATACCACATTTGAACCACATACAACCATTACTTAAGGTACCTGAAAATATGCAAAAAACACACGCCACAATATACTTATTTCTCAATCCGTTAAGTGACCGGAACAAAAAATTCTGTGAGAAAAAGTTTTCAGCGTTACCAACACATTTATATTTATACAAACACATTTACACTTATTTACAGCAAAAATTACTTCGCTTGGAAAATAATTTTAAAATTGCAATCCAAAAATTAAACCGCATAAAAATTAGCGCGATTAAATTATGAGGTCATGTTGTCAAGTAGATTCCCGGTATGCTGCCCAGGAGCAAAACGAAATCAGACGATCCAGGCTATTAATCCACTGAAAATAATTCATTGCCTTGTCTGCATATAATTAATTGTGACGGATAAAATCGATTGGTAACAGCTGAAATAAAAGAGTCCGCCTCAGAATTCATGTGCATATAGACACCTGTTTTCGGCGTTACATTAGCAGAAGCTACCTTCTTGTCACCTCGGGTGGATTTTGTCAAAGCTCAGTCACCATAAAAACCCCGAAATAAGTATGACGTGCGTTTCTTTACATGTAATTTATTTCGTCTTTGCGTCAGGAAACTTGCAAAATAGAAGTTGTTTTAAGTTGTGAACAGCTTTTTTTTTCAGGTCTATCTGTGCCCAACACAACACTCCAGATCAGATTTTGAAGAAGCTGCTAGATGAAGGTCATTACGAGAAAAGACTACGGCCGCTCAGTGCATGTAAGAAAGATCTGTTGCCCAGTTGAAAAACAATACTAAACGAATTTTTGAATAATATTTCCAAAGTTGATAGCAATATTAGGCTTGCTTGATCAGCTTAATTTTTGAATTTTGAAAGCCCAACTCAATTGATCTGACAAGAAGGTGCTGGTAATATAAGTTCATAGAAAATGGCGGTAAATCACGGGCTCGTAGAAAATTCCCAGAGTAAGCATCAGCAAACAGTAAGCTCAATTTAACTATTGCAACAATAAGGCTAAGGTCACAGAAAAGGGTATTGATTCTTTTGTTACACATGGTAGCTAAGTAAAGCCCAGGACATAGAGACAGACGCATGAATCTCGGACAGACAAAATCCATAAAAAGGAACAATTGACAAATTTCGGAAAAATTGCAGCGTGGAAAAAGAGCTTTGAATGTCATAAATACAACGATCTGATTCAATAAACATACACCCTAGGCACTTGAAAAAACATTGACTCGAAAAATATTGACTCGAGATTATTCAAAACAAGTTATACACAGAGGGAAGAACATGTTATACCAAGAGCCCAGCTAAAGCTGGAGGTACGTGTTTGATATTTTTGAATTTGCTATACTGATGCGGGACAAAATAAGTAATTTCAACAATTGCACATTGCCCAAAACCTTAGTTGTTTCTCTACTGAATTAAGAATGAAAATTTTTGAGATTTGGAATTTTGCCAAAGATACAACCTTTCTCTTACAAAAAAATAAGTAGTCTATGCAGGAAAAAGTCGCGCAACCACTTCTTTCGATTGAAATTTTTAACTCAGATTTGATAGAGTAATTTTTATGAAAATTTTTGACTTTCCGCAATCTTGACTTTTCGAAGACAACTTGACTTTCCGAAACCAGTAACTTTGTTCTGCTAAAAGCAGGGCAGGGCCGGTAAAGTAGAGAATATTTCCAAAATCGGGTTTCTCGATTAAACACCTACTCTGAGAATTGGCACAGTAATTTTCGAGCAGAGTAAAAAAAAACTTCAAAAACGGCCAGTTAAAGCGTTCAATTGTTTGAAAGCCATAAATATTTTGAAAGCCATAACTCACACAATCATAACTTCCCGTGTACATAACCGACAGATATGTTTTTCGTGTTTTCAGTGAAGCCTCTGATGGTGGAGTGCACTCTCTACGTAGTGAGTCTGGGTCCAGTCAGCGAAGTCGACATGGTACGTAGAAAACAAGCAAAAGTGGGTTGCGAAAAAACTGTTTCTACCCAAAAAAAATCAACACAAAGACGAAGCTGAGCTTCGCACAACTTGCGATACAAATATGAATGACTATAATTGAAATCAAACGGAAAAAATGAAGAAAAAAAAACAAAAAAACTGTTTTGGCACTGAAAAAACTGCAACAAAATATCCAGAACAAAACTGGCTGCATCTTTAGACACTTTACAAAGAGCTTCCGAAATGCTAAAAAGAAACCAAATTTTACCAAAAAAGTAAATTCTGCAGAACAAAGCCGACAAAAATAAGCAAACCGACTGAAATCTAAATAAGCCGAAAACTTTCGATTTGCAAAAACACAGGTCTCCACTGGAATCGAACTCCCGGGCTTAGTCGTCTCAAGCATGGGGGTTACAGCAACTTGGAAGAAAGCTTAATCCTCAAAAAATCATGCTAGGGAACTAAGTCGACAACAATAAACGGACGGACGATAACCCGAAAAACACCGAAACTCTTGTTTGCAAAAAAACAGGTCCCGGCCGGATTTGAACCGCAAACCTTAGCGGTTACAAGCTGTTGTGTCACGTCTACGCCAGATAGTTGATTGCATTTGAACGTATAATTACCAAGCGGTAACAGCCGAAAATACCTGAGCAGAAACCTTTCATGTCGAAAAAAAGTTCAAAATTGTTAACTAATTTTAAAGATTTGATGTCCCTTCACCCCTCAGAGCATACGCACTCACACAAAAACTTTTTGCGATCCCCGAACGACGCAATAAGAGGCCACTAGGTCGATATAAATAAAGCCGAAACCTAATAAGCCCATAAAAAAGACAAAAAAAAAGGAAGAAAAAAATCTTGATAACTCGAGTTGGTAAAACTACAACCAATGTTAACAGCAAATTTCGATTCAGCCGGAGTTTGGAAAAGCTAAAACACTTAAAAACAACTACAGCGAAAATGTTTACAGCCAAAAAAAAACGATTCATAGATGTGGCAACCAAGCCGACGAAACTAGAAATTTTTTGAACGGGAATATTTACTGTTTGAAAAAAATAGGTTCTAGTCAGATTGAAACCCAAGACCCTTGCCGTCCCAGGCGTATTCGTCACCTCTAGGCTGAGTGTGTAGGAGACTCAAAGAAATTTGAACTCATTATGAACCAAGGTACCACTATGAACCAGAGTCCAGATGAGTCCAGTGAACAAAGTTGTTTACAGGAAAAAGGTCTAGTACCCGATAGCAATACCCTTGCTTATCGCAAGGGCAATGTAATTTAAAAAAAACATATTTAATTGTTTCTTTTCATAGTTTGAGAAGTGCAATATCGTGTTTTAAAACAAAGTTTTTTGACAAGGGTTTTAAATCATTTCTTCCCACCGCTCAGCACAGAATGATAAGAGACTGACTCATTCGATTTTCACTGGCGATTAACCTACAAATTATATAGGAATTATATACATATAAGAGGTTATAAAGGCTGAACAGGCAGGCAGTATTTATCTAACCGACAAAGAGGCTAGCCAGTGAAATAAATCCCTAATATTTTCGTGTTCAGACTTTCAAACTGGGCATCTACTTCCGACAGTACTGGACTGACCCCAGACTGCGTTTCAACTCCACTCTAGACAAGATAGTGTTGAGCCAGGACCTGCTGGAAGACCTGTGGCTGCCAGACTCCTTCTTCCAGACTGAGACGGAGAGTTACATACACGAGGTCACAAAACCCAACGTCTTCTTCAGACTCCACAAGGACGGCAGAATTCTCATGAGCATCAGGTCAGAATAACATTTAACTTTTCAATAGAACTAATCCACTTAGATAAAATTGGACTAACATTTATTTACCTTTGCGTCTCTTTTTAAACCTCGTTTTTTAAAAAAAAAACTGCCTAATTCGAAAACCATTTCTTTCTTAGGCTCAACTACACAAAAACATCCAGTAGGAAAAATAAAAACAAAACCAGGTTCAATTTTTCAGAGTCACAGTGACGTCACGATGTCCGATGGATCTACGACTTTTCCCGATGGATACTCAGGAGTGTGAGTTGCGGATAGCGTCTTGGGGATTCACTACAAATGACCTGCAGTACGAGTGGCTGCGCAACACACACATGAATGCACCGCCCATCAAACTGGCAGAAGACATTACACTTTCTAATTTCAGAGTGGTCAATTATCAATGGAACAGTTACATCAGGAACTTATCCACAGGTATGCCCAAAGACGAAGTGCCTGTTTCAAAGTTCCAATAGACAGCTCCTAAAGGTCATTGACCTAATGCAAAAGTAATATTTGAGCTCCGTTTGACAACTTGAAAAATCAAACAAAAAATAAGCATGAACAAATTTTCAAACTATATAGAGCTAACGGAGCCACACAACCGAAAGAAAGGACGTTGATTGAAGCACTGTCTGTTATGACAAAGTATCCGCTCTCTTTGCAGTTTCTCTCAAGATAATGGTAAGTACTATTACTGATCTACTTTTTTGTAGGCGAGTGGGACACTTTAGCAGTGACTTTTCGCTTCGGCAGAAATACACTCTACTTCATCATCCAGATGTACATTCCTTCCACTCTCATAGTCATGGTCTCTTGGGTCTCCTTCTGGGTCGGCAGGGCATCCGTACCGGCACGGGCAGCCCTCGGAATCACCACTGTCCTCACACTTCTTACTCTGATCTCATCCACCAATGCAAACATGCCTAAAATATCCTACATGAAGGCCATTGATGTCTACTTCGCCGGCTGCTTTCTCTTCGTGTTTGCCAGTTTGATTGAGTTTGCAGCTGTGTGTTACCTGGACAAATCCAGGGTACGCAGGCCGACTCCCAGCAATCCATCAACGGGAGCTGACACTGCAAAAAGCAGCACTAAATCTAGGGTACGAGATGGAGGAAGTACAAAAAGTTCAAACTTTTGAACACGAAATTCTAATAGGATCATACAATTTAGGTCATTCGATCATCATGTGATTCATCAAACTATGAAACTCTTCGTTAATTGTTTTTTTTTGTTCCGACCATTGAAAATATGGAGGAACTTTGAATTCGGGTGTGTTTTAGTTTTTTCTTTTTGTTTTCCACGCAAAATCAAGTACCACAAATAATCATCGGACTGGGTTGAGTGATATATTACAGTCATGATTCGAACCACCTTAAAAAATTTGCAAAAAAGTTCCCAGTGTTGAGAAAAACTGGTTTGAAATTTTTGTCTTACATCGAGCGAATAAAGCAAGCCAGCAGGCTTACAACAACTGCATTATGAATAATTTAAAACCTTAAAACTGAATTTTAGGCAAGTAAAACTAGTTTTTGGAGTTTTTTAGCTTCATTTTGGGAACCAAAAACTTCAAAAACTTATTGCAAAAATTTTGTTTTAGTTTTTCTAGTAAATTTTCTACGTTTTTTGTCCCATTTGCCTATATTAGTATGACTGTCGAAAATAGCTAAATTATATTTTTACGTCAGATCCTTATATCACACCACGCAGAAAAAACTACACTAACTTGGAAAAATAACTTTCTAAAACCTATGGTCGGTACATTCTGTGCTACTTGCACAGAAACCGGCTATCCTTGTTTAAATTGAAAACATACAAGATGAATTTACTATTACTAGCAATTTAATATTACATTAAGATCATTTATCCACGGGGGAAAGGACCAACACAAGAGCTGTACAGCTCATCACGGCGAACCGCTGTTGTGCCCCTGTTTAAGAACTACATGCAATTATTTGTTTTTGGTTATTTTTCTGGGCTGGGTAATGTTGCTTCACCCTCAAGCAACGAGCACGGATCATGGTGGGCCTCGAACATCCGACCTTTCGATTGAGAGGCGGAGACGTAACCACTTCACCACCGCTCCCCAACATATTACTAGCGAATCAGGCGTCTAATTAGAATAATGAACTCATTTGGCTAAATTGTTCCGTGAATTGCCAAAAGCCAATAAATAATAGTGTTGCTTCTCAATTTGGAAAAATGAACGTAATACATTGCAGGGCCCTCAGCTCACTGACAGCAATGCGGAGCTTCCGAGGCGTGCCAGTTCTTATCTCCTATCTTCTATGCCTGATGACCTTACTGGGTCCAAGACATCACTTCAATATGCAGTTGAGCTGTCCCAACTGAAACAAGAGAGTCTGAGACGCCCGCACAATGCACGACCAGGTGAGTTCACGAAACAGTGCTTGTTCGCGTTATACAAACTATAGGAAAAGACTTCTAAGATAAAAGATTATAAGAAAAACATTATGTTGAGATGTGTAAATCATAAGCGTATTGACTCTCAAAGAAACGATGAAAAGTTACACGTGTCAATAGTTCAAACCAAGTGTTATTTACAGTCTAATCACACAGACGCAATACAATTTCAATTTGTAATCAAAAGCACGAGACCTACCGAAGTGCCAGAAAAAAAGCAGAAAACATTCTTAAAACAAAAAGAAACACGGATAGTCGGTAACTGTGCAACAGGCTGGCCACTATTTTCTCAAAAATATATAGACTTCAAGTGACTATGACAATTTTCGAAATTTTTTGTCGACCTTTTTTTAGGCCGACCAAATTAATTTTTCAAGTTCAGGCTCTGCCAAAGTACTAAAAAGTCCGTTTTGGCCAAAATTTCTGCGCCGCAGGCATAATTTTGAATAAAAATTTGCGTTTTTTCGGCGCGCGCTCCCCCCTCAATATAAGTATGTATTGGCGCCAAAGGCGCCTTTAGAAACCTTTTAGGGCCCGTCACCAAAAACGGACATCTCAAAACAGTGCAAAGAGGCGACCCTTTAAAAATATTAAAAAACAGAAATCTTTGTTGTAAATAGTGACTTTTACATGGTCTCTAGAAAATATAGTCTTCCAAAAAATTGTAGACCAAATAATGACTTTTATTATAAATATAGACCAAGTGGCCAGCCTGCTGTGCAAATAGCACTGAATGTTCCGAGCATAGTCTTAATTTTTTTTAAAGTAAGATCTGAACATGTGTAGTGTAAAAATAGGCTCTGAACAAAAATATAGCAATTAGGTATATTCGAGTCATATTTAATCAAATAGGCCAATTTGAAAAAAGTTTCTGCAGAAAAAAATAAAAATCGTAATAAAGAAATTTTTTTATTATTTTTTGCAGAATTAATTTGAACAAACTTTACTCGAATAAAACTAAGTTTTCACGGTTTAAATTATTCTTAAAAATCTATTGTAAGCCTGCAAACCTTATTTTCACAAACATTATTAGCTCAAAATTACACCAAAAATCAAAAACATCATACCGGTTTTTCTCGACAGAATTTTTTTTTAATTCCGTTTGAATCATGATGAATAGGCTTTGAAATGAAACAAGACTCGACGCATTCCGACCGATGATTATTTTTGGTACCTTATTTTGCGAGGCAAACAAGAAGAAACAAAAAAACTAAAACACCCGAACATAAGAATCCTCCACATTTTTCAATTGGTCGTAACAACAAGAGGGATTATGACAAGGTGCTTTAATTGTAATGATATATCTCGAACTAGTGTTATTTGATGCCTTACTTTTCAGTGTGACGGTGTTCTATACTAATTCAGCAATCTAAAGGCACTATCGTTTTGGCTGAGAAATATTTGGTTGCAGGGGACAAGATTAATCTTGTCTTCGGAGCGTGGTAGACTAGTTTTCTCACTGAGTATCGACTGAATTTGAACGACTATTTTTGTTGTCTCTCTGAGTTGTACACTAGACTCTATCAGAGCTATCTATTGAGTCAATATTCGATTTCCGGTGTTTGTACAATGATTCAAGTGTAAAAAGAGTAATCCACCGAAAAAGGATGTAAACATTGTAACATTCGTCTACTGCAGTCACACATGAGGCTTAAGAAAAATAGGCCCTATAACCACTGGCTCAAGGGTCAGGGACACCATCTCTTGTGTTTTTCTACCTCAAGAACGGTCGGAGCCAGTTCGGTTCGTTTGTGACATGAGACTACGACCCGTTACAGCTTAAAGGCTACTACTAAAATATCCCCCCACTCTAGAATTAGAAACGTCCCCATACTTAGGTCTCTAGATACCCAAAATACATGAACGCCGTTAAAAACCGGGTTGGAACAATCCGTTAAGTTACTTTTTATTAGACAGTGTAACTTTGATCCATTTCAGATGGATCAACCTAAAACTCGCCTTACCTCAACATAACAATTATAAAACACACTCTAGAAATTTAAATTAGTACTCACATTGTAGCACACTCAAGAAGGGGAAGTACTTCAGTCGGTAATTAACTCAAGAATTAAATAATGTAACTAAATGAGTTTTAATGTTTATCAGTTTCAATAACGAGGACAGGTCTTAACTCTAGGATATAGTTTCTCGTGAACCATTGGGACACTCAAGTTGTCCACCTTTCCGTCGAAGGTTCACTCTGGTCCAGCTCAAATAATCGTTCTCTCGGGAATACTCTGTCTTCTATTTCAGATGGGACAGCTCTACTCTTGTTCACTATGATGGAAATTGCGAATAGCAATTTCCTACCGATTTCTCTTGCAACTTTCCCGCGTTTTTCACTCGAACGTTCTGACTTCTCTTTTCTGATTTTCAGTTATCGCGAGAAAATCGTGCATGACAGGTTCCATTCGAAATTTAGAAAAATTAAATTTCACTCCAAAATCAAGTGTTTTTTGCTTCTCTCAAGGTCAAACTTCCGAATATGACCGACTGGCACACATACAAAGTAAAGTATTGACAAAATATTGGCAAAAATATAGATAAAATGAAAGCTGCAGATATAGCAAAGACTAATGTTGGTTATAGGCCGTCACATGGATAGCCGGTTGCTGTGAAACTAAAACTAATCTGAGAAAAAAACTCGAAAAAAAATCTCTATTCTTATTAAACAAGAAGTGATAATTGCTAAAAGAACGTAAAAAAAAATTAGTAGAAAAATAATATGCTTTAGGGTTGTTATGATTTTTTGTACGACTAATTTTTGATGCTGAAAAAGCAACTTCCTGCACCACAGAATACTAAACGTAAATATGACAATAATCAGCCAAAAATAGATGTTTGAAAAAACGAAGACCTGTAGAATCGACGATATAAGAATATTCACCAATTTCTCGAAATTTTAGACCACTGAGACTGTTCTGTTTCTGTATTTCAGGGGGCGGAATACGTTACTCTCAACATTACGACCACAACCTCAATTACAACAACAGCAGCAGCAATATTACACGGCGAAGCAGCAGAAGACTATCCTGCTCATTGCGAAGACCCTCGATCCGAATAAAAAACGAACAGGGTGATATCAATGTCGGCTCTATCGACCGATTCTCACGATACTTTTTCCCACTGACATTCACTACTCTAATGTGCATGTATTGGTCCATCTATTACCATATTAGCACCCAGTTGGAACCAATAGGTGAAAACGGAATCATTCTATGACCTCAAATATTTCCAGTTTTTAAAAAAGCCACGAAACTTTTTACTCAAGAGCACATGCAAAAAAATCATTTGAAGCTCTATTTATTTACAAGCTAGAAGTTTCGAATATCGTGGAAATATAATACAATTTAATACTATTAGTTTCTTTTTTTTCTTGATCTGGTGACAAGCGAGGCCTGCGTAAAACTACCTTGTCGGATGCTTAAAAATCAGCATTTATATCAATAAAAATCGAATTCTTCTCAATTAATTTGCGTAAAAAGCCAGCCTACATCAATTAGCAGCTGGTGCTCTGATAGCTTAACTGTGGAACTGCAGGTTTACTCAAAGTTAAAATATCTCGGACTTGTGATCAGACCTGAGATCAACAGCTCTCAGATATATCCAGCTAGAGTTCTACTTCAACTTCACAAATTGGCAACAATTGCGCAATCAAATTATAGATCGCATTGTCCATTGATTTTTCCTGATATCGTCGGACTTACGAGAGTAGTGCAATCATTCAGGAACTCATTAGCCATATTAGCGACGAATATGGTTATCGGACGAGCAGACCGAGCAGCCAAAAAGCAGGAGGCTCTTGAGCCTTTCAACTGACTCACCCGACCCCCCCCCATATTTGTGACAACTGCGAAGTTCCTTAACCGGGGCTAAAAAACAGCTACGCAAAAACGGTAAAAAAGGAAATGATAAGAAAAATAGAATTCATTGAACGAAATCATCGCATCGTAAGTCAAACCGCGAAAAATCAAATTTTAGAGAAAAATCATTTCATTCGTTTACACAGCTAGCGCATTACTCGCGCCTACGGTGCTTTAAATAGATTGTTGAATGTGAAAAAAAGATTCTTAACATATTTACAAAAAAATTTTATGAAATCGTTAACTGAAAACGGGAACTTCCCTCGGGGTTTTTAATCTTATTAATTATTTTTAGTTTTTTGATTAAAATTAACTTTAAATTTGTCTTTCTAAATCGTTCAATTAATAATATTAAAAACCCCAAGGGAAGTTCCCATTTTCAGTTAACGATTTCATAAGACAAATTTAAAGTTAATTTTAATCAAAAAACTAATATCTCTAAAAATATTGAAATTTCATCAGGCATGTGAATTTTAAACTCAAAAAAGGATTGTTAAAGAAGCGAGAGAATACAACTGCTTGTTTTTCATATTTAAAAAGTTCTTAATCAATCAAATTTTTAATCGAAAGTTTTGAAAAATTAATTCAAATTGTCATATCTCGGAACTAAGTTTCAACGCTTCAACATGGCATTCGTGAGTTCTATGTGCGCAGAAGATGAATTTTCTCCAATGAGATTTTGCCGAAAAATTCCGGTTGATTTTCAGCTTATTGGCTGTCGGTTTTAATTTTGTCGGCTAATTTATCTAACATTTTATTTACTACAACATTCCGATATTATTTATAAGATCGATATAAGATTTTGGCCCCAAATTTTCAAATTCTCAAAACCAACTCCACTTGGGTCGCTTGAAAAAACTTCAATAAAAATAAGCAAAGAAAAGCCTTAAGATATTGGGCTATTGAAAGAACGGAGAAATTACAGCCTCTCTCACCCTCCTTAGAAAAACACGAAAGCTTTGTGTCTACTTTAGTGTTTAGCTGGCATGAAGGCAGTAGGAGTTTTCTGTTCTTCTTGCACAAAGACCTGCCATGCATTTTTCTGTCAGTTTAGTTGCATACAACACATCTGATCATTCGACTGAAAACCGTTAATGAAGTTAATCAAACATCGTTAAACTGAAAAGGCTATACAAAAATAAGCTTCCAAAACTGGAACATCCCAAAAATCTACTTAAAATAGCGTGTGATAATTTTTTCGGCCGAAAACCTTCCACAATCAATTCTAAACGCAATGTCTAGTAGCAATGCGCAGTCATATTTTTTGGGTATTGTCTATACCTTGTTTGTTCTGTGCATTTTCTATGCCTAGCCACTAAAAAAAAAGGGTTGTCAGCCTTAATTATTCATCTGACTGAATATATTTCATACTCAACCTAAACTATTTTTTTTTCGAAATCTGCTGAACTCATTGACTCTATTTTTGTAGCCCACATACAAAATGTTTAAGATAGCCCAAAGAACGACGGAAAAATGCATAAGAAATTGATAAAGCAATAAAAACAATCAAATTTAATTGAATAATTGAAATTTAAGATTAATTTGTATCACATCAAATCTTCAATTTCAGAAAATATTATGTTCCGTGATATATGAAACCAACGCACAGCGCAAACATACATTGCTGATTCAAATTATCCGGACTAAGAAAAGGTGTGAAAACTAAGAACTCTGTTAATATTAACACCTAATTTACACTTTTTTGATATTTACATTAAACTTTATAACTAATTAACAAACACAGATAGTAGTTAAAACAAAAATCAACAAATTTAGTATTTGGTATGATAACCATTGTTTTTTAGAACTGCATTTATTCTATGAGGAATGCTCCGATATAACCGATGAATGTAGTCGTCCGGAATTGCCAAAAAAGTATCGAAAACTTGACGAATAAGTTCTCTAACTGTTGTAGAGTGTTTTTTCCGAACCTTCTGTTTCATGTAATTCCATAATCTTTCAATAATATTCAAATCTGGAGATTGCGGGAGCCAATTTTCCAAAACTTGAAAACCATTTTCCTGGAAAAAATTTGTCGTAAATTTGGAATTATGGCAACTGGCATTGTCTTGCTGGAAAATTTCGTCCAGATAAATGTTTTCAATCAAGTGGGTTTCGAGTAGTTTGCAATATTTGGCAGAATTAATGCTTCCGTCGATGACTACTATATCTCTTTCCCCAGAAAATTTTATGTAGCCCCAAAACATCACCCTTCTTCCTCCAAATTTTGCCGTTGAAGTGATATAATTGGGATAATAACGCATATTTGGGGGTCGTCTCACATAAATCTTGGCACTGGAGAATAATTCAACGACGGTTTCGTCCGAAAAAAAAACCACATTTTTCGAAAAAATTTTGTGGTTTTTCTCGAAAAATTTGGCACCATTTTTTGCGTTTTTTTTCTGTTGATGTCCGAAATTTTGGGTTTTTTGGCGCTGACTCGTGCTCTCAGTTCTTTCCTGACCAAAATTGATCGAATTTTGGCGGCTGATAAATATAACGCTGGTTCAATTTTTTTTCGAAGCTCCTGAGACGTCGCAAAAAGAATTTTTTTTGCTATCAAATATATATATATATAATTTTCGTCTCTTTCGGTAGTTTTTTTTTCGGTCGACCGAACTTTTTTGCGTTTCAATAATGTCCATTTTCCAACTTACGGCATTTCTCTAAAAAATCCCACGCGGTAGATTTAAGAAATTTAGTTTTTTTTTTTCAATTTTCTATGTAAACTGAAATTTTTAAGAGAAAATTCCAAAACTTTTTCCAGAATTTTTCCCAAAGCGGAAATAAGCCCATAAAAAAGTAGCAAAGTTTTTGTTTAGGTTTTTCCAATATTTTATTTATTATCGAATGCAGCAGGAATTTGTAAAAAACTGTTAAGTCTGAATCATGAGAGTTTTTTTTTTAATATATTAACGCCTTGTTCAGTTTTATTTGCACACCTTTAGTCCGGATAACTTAAATCAGCACTGTAGCAGCAGCCAATTGAAAAAACCACATGGCAGCAGACAAAAGGCTAAATCAAGTTTTTTGAAATTTTTTTGAAAAAATCTCAAATACCGTCATATCTCGAACACTACACGGATTTGAGCAGTCATATTTGGAGGCAAGAATCGCAACCCCTGAGAGTAACCTGACAGCACCCAGCTACAGGGTACAGAATTTCAAAATTTGAAGAAAAAATTAATTCAAGTTTTTTGAAATTTTTTGAAAAAATCACAAATACCGTCATATCTCGAACACTACACGGATTTGAGCAGTCATATTTGGAGGCAAGAATCGCAACCCCTGAGAGTATCCTGAGAGCACACAACTACAGGGAAAAAGATTTCAAAATTTGAAAACAAACAAATTCTTTTTTTAAATTTTTTTTTGAAAAAATCACAAAAACGTCGTATCTCGAAAACTACAAGGATTAGAGCAGTCATATTTGGAGGCAAGGTTCGCAACCCTTGATATTAATCTGTTAGCCCCCAACTACAGGGTTCAGAATTTCAAGTTTTGAAGAAAAAAATTTCGTTTATTTTCCTGAAAATTTTTTGAATAATCACAAAAAACGTCATATCTCGAAAACTACGAAGACTTGAGCCGTCATAATTGGAGGCAAGATTCGCAACCACTGAGAGTAACCTGATAGCACCCAACTACAAGGTAGAGGATTTCAAGTTTTGAAAAAAAAATTCGTCCAAGTTTTCGAAATTTTCTTTGAAAAAAATCACAAAAAACGTCATATCTCAAAAACTACAAGGATTTGAGCCGTCACATTTGGAGACAAGATTCGCAATCCTCGAGAGTACTCTGACAGCACCCAACTACAGGGTTGGGAATTTCAAGTTTTGTAAATTATTTGTAATTTGTGTTTTCTGAAAAAAATTTGAAAAAAATCACAAAAATCGTTGTATCTCGTACACTAAAATGATTTGAGCATCCTTAATTGGAGGCGAAATTCGCAACCTCTTGGGAAATCCTCGCAGCGTCACACTACTGGGTTGCTTAATTTACACTCGCTGGAATAACCACTGAATTCAAACAGGAAAATCGAAAAAAAAATCTTAACCACCGCAACATACGATATAGCTTAAACATGCAAAAAAAATACGTTGAAAAGACGAGGTAGTGAAGCCCGCATTTAATTATACAACAGATCATCGAGCGAAAATAAAATTCTTGCCATGAAAAACTTTGAACAGTAAATTGTATTCTGGATTTTTCACGTCTTGTGCAATCCGGAGGAAAGTATTCAAATTATGATTCCCTCAGATTGCCCAAATTTAAGTTAGTAAGCCGATAAAAGAAAAGCCAAAATCATTTAGGCCGAAAAAATTTTCAGAGAGAAAATTTAAAAAGGAAAATACACGAAATCAACGCTAGTAGAATTAAAAATTGCGGCAGCATATGAAAATTTAAAAAGCACAAAAGCCGACAAAAAATAAGCAGATAAATAAAAAGCCGATATTTTTTGCACCGGAATATTTACCATTCGAAAAAAAACAGGTCATGGTCAGATTTGAACCCGAGACCGTTGCGTCCCAGGCATATTCGCTACCTCAAGGCTAAGTGTCACGAGACACTAAGAAAATTGAACTAATTATGACCCAAGGTACCGCGAGTCCAGCGGATTAAGTTGTTTCGGGGAAAAAGTCTAACACCGCAAGGGTAATTATCGCAAGGGTAACTAAAACACAATAAGTTGAGTAATATTTTTTTATTAAAAAACAGT